GTATAATTTCATCTTCAGCAGAGGGTTCATCTGCTTTAAAAAGATGTGGCAAGTGTTTATTTTACTGTCAAATAATCTGATGGTGGTTATTACGATTTGCATTTTATTGATGGATAGATAATACATTTTTCCATGTGATTATATAGCTATTCTCATGCAAATTGATCTTTATTTTAATTGTAAGGAGCTATTTTAAGAATATTATTTTTATTTCATGAGAGTAGAATTCAGTAGCAATAATTCAATGAGTAAGTAAATACAGTGAAAAGTACATTTTTTTGGTATTTTGTTGTTTTTGCTTTCTCACATGCATAGAGCCGTGAGAAATGAGGCTGCTCGTGTGTACTCAGGCAGAGACCACTTTACCATGCCCCTGCTCTTACTTACTGAGTTAGCTTAAACTCTGAAGTGGCCTGTGTCGGGTGGGTTTAGACCTGGTTGCAAGTGGGCAACGACGATCATGACGGGCCAGTTGTGAAATGTCATTATAGACCCAATGAGAGAATTGAAAAAAAGTAAAAGAGGACCTGGAAGGCTGATGCCCCTCATTTTATAGAGGAAAAAGTTGAGTTTTAGGAAGGGAAAATCAGTCCTTATGGTGTCACAGGTAGACCTGGCTTCCCGCTGTCGTCCTTTGAGTGAGTGGGTCTTGGGCTGGCTGCCTCAGTTGGGCTGACAGGAGAATGGAGACCCCACAGAGTATCTCCATGTATAGGAGTTTATCTCAAGAATCCATGTGGGTGGGATCTGGCAGCAGAAGGCTCAGGGCTAGGGCCATCTCTCTTTGCTTTTCATTCCTCTTCCCTCCCTCCCACTCCTCCCTCTTTGATCCTCTGCCTCTCCATTATTGGCATGTCCCTTATTCCCCACCTGCCCCTAGTAATTGGCTTCTTAACTCCTTGTGTGTTTTGACTATTAGTAAGTAGCCATGACCATGATCTTCTTGGCTTATCATGACCACAGTTCATCCTCATGGTGGTTTTGTGACATGTGTCTTCGCTCAAATTTAGAAGGGAAGGAGGTTTATTAGCCTTGCTCATCTTTTTGTCATTGGCCAAAGGTTAGGTTCACCAGCCTGTTCGTGGACTTTTGGTCAGGTGTCCAGCCTTGCTTCTGTGGGTCACAGCGTTTTGAAGCGGAGTTACATGATCCAGAATATGGATCTTTTGGCACCAAGGATTAGTGGCAGGACTGTTTCCTTTAAAGAGAGGTGGGTTGGCCAAACATTATCAACTTTGGGTGTGTTTGTACTGAAAAGTATGAGATGATACGGAATGTGAAGGAAAAAAATTGAGGTATGGATCGGGTCTAGTGTTTAGGTTTTTTCTTGATGTTTTTGCTTCAGGTATACGAGACCCATGGAAAACTCTCATTGTCTCCTGTTGTTACCCTACTTTCTGTTTCTTCAATGCCATGTTCCCCATTGCCAAGCTGTTATTTTCTTTTGAATCATAAAAATGTTGTCTGTATTTTGAACGCAACAGAGTTTGCCCCAAAGATAGCTTTTTGTGGCACTTCTCACCACTGCCCTTAACTTTGGGGCAGATGAATCTTTTTAGATGCTAAAGAGACTGGAGTTTTAGACTAGTTTAGCACATTAGAAAAGTTGAATAGCCACTGGATAATAAACTTCTTAGGGAAGGGGATTGCTTTTGTTTTTAAATCTCTTGTCTCTTCCATATGGTTTTACAAAGGGTCTCAAAGAACATAGTGCATTTGATATTACTAGGCAGATATGAAAGTAACATTATCCAGTAGACTATAAACTCCTTGAGGTTAGGGATCAAGCCTGCATGCTACTTAGCACAAACCTTTCATAGAGCAGCATGCGAGAGCATGGGAGAGCCATTTGCACAAACCAATGGGTGAGAGTTACCCTATGACTATTGGCTATCACACAGAATTAGACAAAGGAGAGCCAGTTATCAAGTCATTAGGTTATCAGTAATGTCTTCTTGGAGGAGAATACATTTGATAAGGTGGATGGGTTTCAGAAAGTAAGCCTTTCAGCTAAATGAGTGGGAAGGAGAGTACACAGCCATGAATTAAAGCATTTCTTTCCCCCTCTTCCAGCATTTTGGGTCTCTTCAATAAAGTGACATTTTTATTAGATAAAATAGGTCATATTTTCTGTAATTTTCACTACTGTATGCTGCCTGTCGACTCAACATTATCAGAATCAGTGTGATAAGGGGACTTGCATTATTATATAGCATGGGGGATGGTAAGAAGCAGTGTTTCTTACTGTTTCCATTTTATTTTTATCCAGATCTTTCTTACCCATTATTTGGATTGTCTCTTGGTATTTTCAAGGCCTCCCCCCGCCCCCCCACACACAGAATTACCCTTTTAAGTGTTCATTGTGTTAGAAATCTACTTAGAGCAGTGGTTCTCAAAGTGTAGTCCTTAGACCTACATGTCGGCATCGATTCAGAACTTGTTAGAAATGTAAATTCTTGGGCCTCACTGAAGATACACAGAATCCAGAACACTGGGGGTTGGATCCAGGAATCTGTGTTTCAACAAGCTCTCCAAGTGGTTCTACAACAGACCACAGTTTGAGAACCCCTGATCTAGAATTGGGTTCTTTACAGTTCATTCCTAGCACCATCATGGGTTAAGAAGTGCAGGAGCCTCATCTAACAGAAGCTCCAGCAGCTGGGTTTACTTTGAATCAAAATACTTTTAAAACTTACATACTCACTAGGACTGTGTCAGCCAAAGCATTTATTTTGAGACTGTGGTCAAGGTAATAGTTGAGTAGCTAATGTTTATTGAATACTTAAGATGTGAGCAGTAGTGGGCACATAGGAACTCATTTAATCCTTAGAACAGCAGCATGAGGAACTGAGGCCCAGAGAGCTTAGGTAGACTGCTTAATGTCACCAAACTGGAAGGTGGCAGTTGCACATGTCTAACCCCTACAAGGCTGACTCCAGAGGCTTTGCTGTTACTCTTTGTGTGGCGGGGGATTTAATCAAAATGATCACAAAGAAATTCATTGATCATATTCTTGGCTTCGCTAAAGATAGAGATGATCAATGATAGATACTTAGTTTTGTTGTTTATAGACCGTATGACTTTTTTTGTATCCCTTTTGTTATCACCGGCCGTGTTTGTTTTTTCATTAACCTTAGAAATAAGGGAATAATGAACTTCACTGACCATAAAAGAAAATAAATTAAGTGAAATCCATGCTGTATTATTAATACTTAATTCCACTGAAAAGAAAATCAAATTTGCATGTGAAAGAATGTACTGGTTTGTGTCCCTAGCCTTCTAGGGTTTCCTGAGATGAGATAGTTTTATATTTCTAAGCTATCTGGGAAATGTTTTTTTCCAAGGAATTACAAAAGGAAGCCCAAGCTTAGGTCCTATTGGGATTCCCTTGGTGTTACACATGGGGTCTGCTCAAGTTCCCTGAGCTTTGGGAAGCATGGTTTAAATATCATAGATTTAGTACCTCTAACATCAAGTTTTCTCTCTGATGATTTGGTTTCTTTCTCAGGTGTGCTTTTGAGCAGTCACATAAAAATCTTAGCTCTTCAAATCCCCCTTCTGTGATGTGTCATTGTGATTGCTTGGCCACCTCAAAGATTCTGGACATTGCTGAGGATGAGGTCAGGCCCATGCATGGTTTGAGTGTGATACTGGACATGGGCTCTAATTCTCGGAAGTAAACTTCCTAGGGCAGACAGTGGTTCTTAATTAACTAGACCATTGCCCTTGATCCTTTGTTTCTCTTAACAGCCTGATTAGGAACTCTGTTTTTAACAATGTTGATTTGATCAGGCAGTTCCTGATGTTTTTTCATAGCAGAGGACTTTGCAGTTTGTCTTGTTCCCCTACCTCAAAATGGAAATGAATACTTAACAAATAACTTGTTATTATGCTAAGCAGAATGCACTTATTTCCATTCATTAATAATGAACATTTTCCCCATTTTGCAGTCACTAATGCAGTAATCAGTCCAGGCAAGGACCATCTATGGATGCTAAAACCTTTGGGGGAAAGGTTTTGATGAGCAGAATAGCAGAGTTTTAAAGTGTCACCTCACAGATAATTTATTGATTTAAAAGGGAAGAGAGCAACTTTTACAGTGAAGAAATCTGGTGGACCCCACCTTAATCAAGTCATCAAATTTGATATCACTAAACCAAGCCAAACTGTCATCCTGAGCTTCCTGATGTGATGCGGTGGGAAGGACACAGCATCATGCACATAATATTCTTGTCCAGCTTGTTTTAATCCATCTCTAATCATCAGACAAAGCAAGATTGTTGAACTTTTTCTAAGATACCTGGCCTGAATTCTTTTGTCATGGAAGACAAAAATTGGCAGGGGGCGCAGAGGGGTGAGACTAAAAGACATGTCATCTCAACGTGTGATCTTTGACTGGATTCTGGATGGAAAGTAATAACAATAAATAAAAGGACATTACTGAGATTGCTGGTGAATGTGAGCATGTGTGCGCATTAGAAAATTCCACACCCGGGCGCCTGGGTGGCTCAGATGGTTAAAGCGTCTGCCTTCGGCTCAGGTCATGATCCCAGCGTCCTGGGATCGAGTCCCGCATCGGGCTCCCTGCTCCTTGGGAGCCTGCTTCTCCCTCTGCCTCTCTCTCTCTCTCTGTCTCTCATGAATAAATAAATAAAATCTTAAAAAAAAAAAAAGAAAAAAGAAAATTCCACACCCACGAGCACCTGAATGGCTCAGTCTGTTGAGCGTCCAGCTCTTGATCTCAGCTCAGGTTTTGATCTCAGGGTCGTGAATTCAAGTCCCATGTTGGGCTCAGCGTGGAATCTACTTAAAAAAAAAAAAAATTCCATACCTGTGTTACACGTCCAGATATGATCATGGTACAAGGAGTTCTTAGGAGATGTAAGCTGAAGTATATGGAGGGGAAGTTTCTGCAACTTCTTTCAAATGGTTTAGCTACAATAACAAATGAACAAATAAATGTATTTGTTACAAGAGAGAGAGTGTGAGAGCAAGTAAGTATGGCAGAGTGTTGGCCTTGTGACAGACTGTTGGCTATTGATAAATCTGGGGGAAAGGTATGTGGGTACCTTTCCTGTGAATTTAATTTTATTTAGATAAAAACCTTTGGGTATAAAGAATGAATAAATACAAGTGAACTCTTTCATAACTCAATACTGTCCCTCCTTGTCTATTACCTGTAGTTCGTGGATAAGCAGTGTGTGGGCAAAAACGTCACCCATTTCAAGTCATACTCTTAGAGATAGCCTTCCATGCTATACACTTTGGTTCTGGGCTCTGCTTTAAAGTCTATTCTTACATCTTTGCAATGGGGATGTCATCACCCTATAATTCTGCTAGTGGCGCGAAGAATTATGATTTTCCAAGTTATAATAAGCCCCAATTGTGGTTTGGTGAGCTTTTGTCACACACATTTTTATTGAATGAATGAAAATAAAGATCTTACAGAAAATAATATTCTATGGATGGCTAACTCATGGGGGTTTTATAGCTGTTAGCGAGCGAAAAGACACAGTCACTGGACTCCATTGGTATCCAGCCTCTTGTCCTCTCTTCCCACCTGCACACCCCAGCCACTGCTCCGGCACCCACCCCTGCACGGGTATAACCTGGGAGCACTCCGCCTCAGCTCCAATACCTGTCTCTCACTTTCTGCCGTGATGCTTTTCTGCCACCATTCTACTTCTTGGCATGAGTACGGGGGTTTAGAACCCATGGCAACCCTAAACCTGTGGAGAAATGGAGCCTGAGGATAAGTATTCTCTTCTTTCATCCCTTAGGTGGGGAGATCTGAGGCATGCTTCTCAGGGCTCCTCCGAGCTCCCCCGCCAGCAGAGTGGGCCTTGAGCAGGTGATCGTAAGGCTGCAATGATAGGAAGTTAGGAAGACATGTTGCTAGGTGTGTGCCATTCTGTGAGTTCGTTGTCAGACAGTTGCGTCTGGGATCTAACATACAGTATTGAGAGTAGCAGGACAGTTCCTGCATCTACAGGTTCTGTAGAGGAGAGGACCAAGAGGATCACCAGTGGAGGACGTGGCAGGACTTCCATCATTTGAACTGAGGCATAAAATAGAGATGCAACAGAGAGAAAGAAACCTGTTCTAATCTATGATGGGGATTGAAATATGGCAGCAGAGCTCTTACCAGAAGGCCAGACAGGGCAGCAAGGGTCTGGGGTTCTTCGTGCAAAAGCCCACAGCACTAGGCGGGCACCTGCTGAATTACGTCAACCTCATAGGAGAAACTAAAAATGGGGAGTAGTCCCAATTTGGTGGGAAGAGAGGGTAAGGAGGCTGGATACCAACTGAATGAAGCCTTACATGTACAGGCTCGTTAAGCACTATAATTACTTGTTTCGTTGTATAGCTCAGGATGATTCTGTGACTTTTGAGTCTCTGTGGTTAGATATCCATCAGTACTTAGAGCATGGACAGTTGATGTACTTTCTACTGCAGTTAAGTACAGATGTTGAAGACCTGATTAAATTCTGTCTCTTTACTGATACCCCAAGGGGACACTTAATGAATGATGCTCCCTTTAAGAAGAAGAATAATTAACAATAGCTATATTATTCATATTAATTTATAGTTACTGGTTACTATAATTAATGCTATTTAAGAAAATGATCATAATTATAGCACTTTACAATTTACAAAGTATTTTCCCATCCATTTTCTTATCTGAATCTTGTAACATCCCTCTGGCTTAGGTAGGGCAGGTGAGGGGGAGGAAACTATGGCCCAGAGAAGAATTTAACCAATCCCCCGCTCTTACCAGTATATTATGCAGTGATGCTATGGAAATACACATAGGAGAATCAGATTCACACAGTTCTCAGTTGCCTTCCCAAACACCAATGTCCCGTCTTTCCATATTGTACCAGGACCCATTCCCCAAGCCCGCTCACGATCCCTGGGAATGCCCTTGTGGCAGTGTCTTCCCCTCTACTCACCCTCTGTGCTTCTGAGTGCAGGTGGAGGGCGGTGCTTGTGATAACATGGGGTATTGACAGGTGAAGTCCATAGATCTCCAGCTTCATGATCGATGACCGCCACCACATGCTTCCTCTGCAGCCCCTTGGCCAGAACTCTGAGCAGACCCATTCTAGTGCACTTTGAAGGTCCATTGCTTGGAATGCACTGTGTCTCTCTCACAGACACATCTAATACCCAACTTAGCCTGCCGATTCCTCTTCCTAGACCGTCAGTCTCCTGCCCATGCCCCTTCCTGCTGCAACTCAGATGCTCCAATTCTGTGTGATGGTTTCTGAACACAAAGAACTTGTAATATCTCCCCAGCTGGATCTGCTCCTTCAGCAGAGGGATGGAGACATTTATTTCCTTTTACTTGTAAATTCGTAAAAAAAAAAAAAAAAAGCCTCTAATGAGTGTGATTTTAGGCAAATCACTTCATATCTTTCAGTTTTCTTATTTGTCAAAACAGGATAATTCTACTTCAGATTTTGTAAAAGCTAAAATAAGTGAAGTGCAGAAAAGCTTGGACCAAGCCACACTATAACTTGAGAGGTTTGCACTCAGACTGATATCACTAGACACTGGAGATGTTTTTTTTTGGGCGGGGGTAACACGTCTCTGTTGCTTTCAACAGGGAAATCCTGGAGGCAAGACCCTTGAGGAGAGACGTTCTAGCCTGGATGCCGAGATAGACTCGCTGACCAGTATCTTGGCAGACCTTGAGTGCAGCTCTCCTTACAAGCCTCGACCCCCACAGGTAAGAGCCTTCTGTAAACATGTCCACACTGCCGGCCACTGGAGTCCACAGCGACCTGAGAGAACAGGCTGTGGCTTGTTGCCCTTCCATTCATTTTTGACCTTCTCAGAGTCAGTGTTCTACATTGTATTTTTTTTTTTTAATATCATCGTATGTTAGTTGACAGAAACCTCTTCAATTGAATTTACGAGTATTTTTTTTAAAGGAACGCAAGAGTATTATACAAAAATGTTGTGAAAATTAAATCTGCTCTTATTCTATTGCCCTGTACTTTTTCTGGCTTTGCCTATGAGGGGTGTTTTGTTTTATGCATATAGTCTGCACAAACATACTTTAGCATGGCTAGGTTCAAGTTAAGGGGAGGGCTACATCTTCTGTGAAGAAACCCTTTCTGCTGGCTCTGGAGGTGACTTCTATTTGATGGTGGCTGTTGTCAGGAATGCTCTGAGATTCATGTCCCTTTTCTTTGGAGTTCCTTCCCTGTCTCAGATTCCCCAGGGGGGATTTCTACGTTGAGGAGCTTGACCACTTCTTTCAGTTTTCTTGTCAAAGGTTGTGGATAGCTTATACTTGCATCCACACTTTGGAAATACATATAGTTCTCCCCATCTCACCAGAGTTAGTGATGGCTACTAGGATCTGTATTCTAAGTGCAAACGGAGCCTTGTCAGTAGCTCTTCCATGCACTCCTTTGCTCACTTTGGAGATTGGCTGTTTCTCTGCTCCCCGGTGTCCGCAGAAGCTGATCTTCCACTGCTGTGGGTCATGGTGTCTCTCTCAGGTCTCGAGAAGGCAATGGCAGAACTACTCGAGGGCTTCTGAGTCCTCAGAAGACAGCGAGCAGAGCTCTAGGTGCAGACATGGGACTGGTACTGTCATCAGTGTTGTTTGACTCGTGTGATGTTTGCTTGACCACATGACGGTACATACGGCACTCTGAGCCTCACTCTGGTTCTTGAACAACAGCTCCTGTATTCACAGTGGATTCTTTCACAAGCTAAAAGCCAGTCCTGCTTCTCCTCTGTCAGTCATTTCCACACGTAAGATGGCAGTGCTTTCCTCATTGGACATACTCCCATTACCTTTTCTAGACACATCATGGGGCCGTCAGCCATGTGGGGGCACAAGGCAGAACAAGAGAGCTTGGTGGTTCCTCAGCCGTGTTGGCTCCACCAGCCCTACCAATGGTGAAAATGCATTTCATTTCAGTCAACATGCCCTGAGCGGCAGGCATGGAGCAGGCACTCTGGTCTTTGGAGGGAACTGTTGGGAGAAGGAAAGGGAGAAAAAGAGAACCAAGCTGCCATCTTCTAAGAGCCCATGATTTTAGAAGTCATACTCCAGAAGATCTGGTAGAAGCACATGAATGTGGCAGGCTCTGAGGTTTATCAGAGAACCTTCATGTTCAGCTGAAGGGAGGGGGGCCTTGCAGTTTTGGGGGCCAGAAGGGAGAACAGCCTGAGCTGGAAAGCAGGAAGGTCCAGGTTGTGTTCAGGGAACTGCAGCTGGGTAGTTGCAGAGAAGGCCACTGAAGGCTTGAAGTCTGCTCTAGGACCAGAAGATTCCCTACCGAGAGCCTGTGGACACATTTGAAGGCCAGATTAACATTCTGGCCTGTCGTTTATAAAGATAATGGGGAATAGTTGAAGGTTCTCAAGCAGGGGAAAATTACAATACATTCTAGAAAAAAACAAAAACAAAAACATAGGAACAAGACCAACTCTGGAAAGATCCAGGAGGATGAGCCCAAGTCTGAGAATTATTCTTCAACAAGCCTTGCTTACTTCATTGCTCCTGGCCATTGTTTGATGTTAAACATTTTTCGTATTCCACCCAACACATACCTCAAGCTCAGTTTCTCAGGAGAGTGAGACCACTGACTTTACAGCTGGGCTCACCTGTCTTATGCTCAAATACTTCTATGCCCCACCACACTGACCCACCCTTTTTTAATGGGGCTTTTCTCTAGTCTTTTTTTTTTTTTTTAATCTCCTAAATTCTTTTTTTTTTTAAGATTTTATTTTATTTTATTTATTTATTTGAGACAGAGAATGAGAGACAGAGAGCATGAGAGGGAGGAGGGTCAGAGGGAGAAGCAGACCCCCTGCTGAGCAGGGAGCCCGATGCGGGACTCGATCCCGGGATTCCAGGATCATGACCTGAGCCGAAGGCAGTCGCTTAACCAACTGAGCCACCCAGGCGCCCTTAATCTCCTAAATTCTTATACTGTAGTTTATACTGGGGAGGTTCTGCTTAGAGGTTTTTACTTAATATAGCTTTCCTTCTTTAAGGCTATGTCTCTGCATGTCTCCCATAAATCACTGCATTTTAATGGGTTATTCAGCAGCTACATTTTTGTGTGAGCCATCATACTGTGCACACAAACTCATAATCACTGATATTTGGACAGTACTTTACTGATGGTAAAGCACTTTCACATATATTCTCACTTGACTAACATATAGATGCCTCAACTCTGAGACACAGAGGGTATGCTTAGTTTGTGGCTGAGGAAACAAAGATGTGGCAGGTAAGTGACATGGCTCAGCAGGACATGTGACTATAGTGTGGGCATAACTGGACCTTGCCTTTTTTGTGTGTTTGGTTTTAAGTTCTAGAACAAGGTTGAGGATGCCAGGATTTTTTTTTTTTTTTTTTTACCAATGACAACTCAATGAAATCAGTCATGTGAGTAACAGTATCACTGAAGTATGGCTTTCTCATAAAAAATAAAACACTTAGAAGGTTTAAAAAGCTAGTAATGGTAACCCTTAGATAGAAGAAGTTGAGGATTAGGAGAAAATCTACTTTCAATATGCCTATTCCATTCAGAAATTAAAGAGTGATCCTTTCTAACTTTTTTTTTATTTTTCTGATTTAGGAAAGCAGGGGTTAATTGGGAGAGCTATCTCATTCTTCTGAATTATCTTCACTGTGGTAGAACTGAATTAGATGTGTTAGTATTTATTGGTTAACATAATTATATGCTGTGAGAACAATAATCACACACTTAAAATATTGAAAAAATATGTGCCAACAGAAGATGATATTTGCAGGAGACTGTGTTGTGTTGTAATTAAAAGGTACTCAGAAAGTCCTAGAAATGTAGACTATTAATGCCCAACTTTGATGTTTCCATTTTTGATGCAAAGCAAATTACAAAATCCGTTGAGTCACCTGAATACTTAAAGTAGGCTAGTAGGTCTATGATTTCTCATTATTTAAGCATGTGTTGTATGCTTACCCAAGCCCACCTCTGAATCACCTTTTTAGGCTGCTTTGACTCATGGATCTAAGGGAAAATGATAATATATGTGGAGTATTTGCAGAGGGAGAGGTCCAAAGGAGCTCTATAACTTTAAAAAATGTCTGAGCTATTAAAAATATATTTTATGGGGCATTTTCTTCCTTGTTCCAAGGGAATACTTTGTGCTCTCAGATTTCCCAACTTTAGTTCTGTGTGCTTATTTATCCATTTTTTAATTTGGGAAATTTGGCTTAATTCTACGTATTCGTTCACTCCTAGCATTTATTGAGATCCCACTGTGGATTAGGCATTGGAAATACGAAGATCAGCATCAATATGTCCTTGCTCTAGAGTAATTTCTAGTCTTACAGAAAAGACAGGCACATAAACAATTCAAAAGGACACCAAAGAAGCACTTCCCTGTGCTACTTGAAGTTATCATGTGACTCACCAGGTGTTGAAATTGTTGAAAAGTCAAAAATAGGAATATCAGCATTATACTTCATACCTTTCTAGGGAAGTATCAGGGCAGACTTCATGGAGCGGGGAGAATTTGAGTTTACTTGGCTGCACATGTCATGGGAAGGACATGAAATTCAAGGTACCAGAAAAACAGGAATGAGGAAGTCAAGGAATGTTGAAAGTGAATGCCTTGTTTGAGGATGAGTTAGGTTCCTTGTGACATACAGAATATGTGGAATGCAAAGGGGAATGGTAGAAGGAGAAATCACCTGTTCTTTTTTTTTTTTTTTTTTTGCTCTTAAGGCATTTATTTATTAAAACGTTCTCTGCCAAGATTTCACATTAGCTTAAAATTCAAATCAGTCTTTACATTTCTCTACTGAGGTTTCCACCTCAGAGTATCACATAAAAACACCTTCTCCAGCAATCAGTGTTACCAGCGTCCACACGGTGAGCCCCATGGTCAGCCTCTTTGTTCCCTAGGTGACCCAACTAGATGTTAATACTGCTCTGCTACAGGGTAAAATCTCCTAACTCAAACTCATTGGAAAAGGGGTGAAACTTCTGCAAAGTGCACTTTAAGAAGAGGTACTGTTTGCTCATGAAAAGAAACCAGTAAGTCCTCTAAGAATAATAAAAGGGGGTATTTTACAGTTAAGCACATGATTTGGAGTGAAGAATTCGGATGTTGCTCTGCTGGTCCAGGCCATTAATACTCTTCTTGTTCCTCCTGTGGGCCCCCTTCATCAGGTATCACAAAGCCTTCATCTGTGGCATACAGAATGTCCATGATCCTCTGCAATACTGGGTTGTTTTCCCCCTCGTTCTCCTGGCAAATCAATTCAATGTTCCTTAGCTTTCCAAAGTAGAAATCTCTTTCTTTCTCCAAGTCTTCGA